TTGTTGTCTAATTTTATGCAATTGCCACAGACACTCCAGCCTTGGGCAACCATCTCCCTCATCAGTCAGCAGCCACCAACTAAGACTAGCAAAAAGATAATGACTCATGGAAAGCTCAGATGACAATAATTTTAACAACAAAGGACTTTTTATTAAGATACATACATTAATTTTTAGGCATAATACTCTTGCGCACTTAATAGACTACAGTATCATGTAAACATAACTTTTATATGCACTGGGAAACCAAACAAAATCATTTGACTCACTTTATTGTGATATTTGCTTTATTGTGGTGGCCTGGAACTAAACCTGCAGTATCTCTGAGGTATGCCTGTTTCCAACTTAACAGAGATGAATCCCAAAAACATTAAGCTGAGTGAAAAAAAAAAAAAGCCACCCAGCGCTCATCCCCACAAGTGCCCTCCTCCATGCCCATCTCCCCCCTCCCCCCCCACACCCATGAGTCCTCAGTTTGTTCTCAGCATTCAAGAGTCTCTCATGGTTTGCCTCTGGGTGTTATATGGAAACCAGCTTGACAATAAACTATTTGTAAAAAAAAAAAAAACAAAAAAAAAACAACAACCAGAGAAGCCTATATATACCATAGAATTCCATTTATATGAACTTTGAAAAAAGACAAAACTAATCTATAGTGAAAAAGTAAAATAAAATCAGTACACCCTTTATCTCTGGGGGTAAGGGCCCAAAATGACGAGGAACGGGAATGAGGGAACTTTCTGGATAATGGTTATATTCTGTACCTGATAGGAGATGGGCTACACAGGGCTATGCATTTGTCAAAATGAGGTAAATGTACACTTCAGATGTGTACATTTAAGGATAGGAAAATTTTACAACAAATGAAAAAGCTGTAATAAATATTGACCTCTAGTTCACGTTATGCATACATAAGTGTTTAGAAGTGAGATGTACTGATGACTTTAACTTACTTTGAATGTTAATATATTTGAGAAAGAGAGAGGTCATGCATGTGTGTGAGCAGGGAAGGGACAGAGACAGAGTCAGAGTTTCCCAAGCAGGCTCCACACTGTCAGTGCAGTCTGACGCAGGGCTTCATCTCACAAACAGTGAGAGCATGACCTGAGCTGAAATCAAGGATCAGACACTTAATTGATTGAACCACACAGGTGTCCCAACTTACTTTGAAATGCTTGGAAACAAGATGGTTTGACAGATGAATAGAGAGACGGACAGGTGGACGGGCATGTGATAAACAAGTAAAATACAATATTACTGCTAGAACCCAGGTGGTGGGCATATATATATTTGTTACATGATACTTTAACTTTGTTGCATGTTTGAACATGTTCATAATACAATATCAGGGAAAATGCATCCCCCTCCTAAACTCCCCACTTCACATCAGGCCCCCTCCCTCCCCTTTTTACTCCCCTCCAGTATCACAGGCCTCTTGGCTCCTACTTAGCAACAACATTTTCACTATGTTCCAGGCAAACCAGGCATAGCACAGAGCACCGGCCTGGATGGCTCCCAGTGTTAAAGAAATATTATTCTGAGACTTATTAAAATGTTATGGAAGACATTACAGTAGGGGTCAATATTATCCAAATAAGAGAGAAAGATTGAGCTCAACTCTGAAGACAGCAAGAACAGATGGGTATTTGCAGCCAAGGTTGGGGGACAGGAGGGCGGTTTTTGGTACACTGACCTAACAGGATTCTTGCAAAGGACTTAGACATCAAAGGTGGGGTTGACGAACTTGAAAACGGTTAGCAAGACAGCTGGGCAAGACCCAGGCTTAGTGGAGAGGCAGCTCAGAGGAGCCTCACTAAAGCTGGGTAGGTCCTTGTCACCAGGTCAAGTTTCTCTGTTACTGGCAAGAAGGGGAGCCAGGGAGCACCATCGAGAGGGCAGGGCTGCCCTCAGTGGCTTCTGAGGTCAAGATCCAATGCCCAGTGCACCAGTTTCAGCACTATCACAGGCAGGATCAGGAATCCCTCTGCTGCCTGGTGCACATTGCTAAAGGAACTGGAATTTAAGTCTGCATAAACACTGAGTACAAAGTCAGAGCAATAACCACACCATGGATTTCAAAGGAAACTGATCTCCCAGATCTGCCAAGGGGATTGCTCAACCGAACTCAGATCCATCCTGTTTTCCTTATGGCCAGGGCTGAGGCCCAGAGAGACTGCAGAGCACCCAAGGGTACAAGCCACCCCATGTCCCTGAACTCCCTGTCCCTGCCCCCTCCCTCTTGGCTGGTGCTGCAGACAACAGAGCTTCTCTGGTAAATGTGCTCCTTGTGAAATTAAATGGTAATTTGTAATGTAAAGCAATGGGGACTATTTACATGGTGGGCCCTGGGCAAAAGCTTCCAAAAGATTCTCTGTCCCCTTATTAAATACAAAATAGATATTGGCCATTGCACTCTCTCTTGCCTCTTTCTACAAGGGCTGTCCACAGGCTTTCCCATGAATATCACAGTTTCATAATGATATGACATCAATCCCTACCAGAGCCCTAACTGCTTTACACCACATTTTAATAGCAAGTTTTAGAAGCTCAAATGTCTAGAAGCTGAATTCTTGGCCAACTTGATAAGACTACTTGCCACTTTAGGTGATGTTTTATTCACTTGGTCATTTATTTATTATAGTATTATTTAATATTTACTTATTATTTACAGAGAATGTCTGCTACTCTCAATTTCTTTCTATACTAATTCAGATCATGGGATCAACAGCCACATATATGGCCTTGTGGGGAAAAAAATTTTTTTTCTCTTCATCTGGCAGAAGGGAAACATTCTTGCCTCCTGGACACATGCGTTCTTTCCTCTGTGGTGCATGGGTGCTGGAAGGCCCATGCCTCTATCTTGAGGCCATTATTTGTCTCTGGGTCTCTGCTAGCTTATCCTTGAAAGCTGTAGGCTACAGATGAGGGCTTGGGCTGCTCCATTATTTTAAACCAGGTTGAAGCAGCACCACTAAGGTTTGCTCATCTCTGTTGGCTCTGACCCCCAGACACCACTGTTAATAAAGTAGCCCACCTCTCCAAATTTGTTACCTTTGCCCAAGGTCATTCGAATAGCTGAGGCAGGTGCTTCTTATCTGATATACTGCAGGTTGCTCTGGTAGTTTCTGTGGACACCGTATGCTAGGATTAGAGATGTTGCTATATTAAGATGCTCACCCCTTGTGTGGCACATGCCAGAGTCCTAATAGGGCATCAGAAATAGGCAGTGTAATGGACAGACAGCAGCATGTGTTAAGCCACAAACTTCTACCATATTCACATCTGCCACCATGTTCTGGTTATTTAGGTAACTGGCACTTCCTAGTATCAAAAGATGAGACATTTCAGTCTACCCTCTGTGCCACGTACCCTTCTAAGACTGGAGGTCCAGCTGTCTGGGATGGATGGGGAAATCGTGATGAAAGCCAATCCCCACCCTCAGAAGATAGCCACTCTTGCTTAGAAGTATCTGGTCAAGGCAGCCCTTTCTTTCCCTGGTCATTTTATCTCCTCCTTTCTATATAACTAACAAAGCCTTTGATCACTTCCTGCAGAGGATATACTGGAGCCAATACCTATACAGTCCTGAACTAGGGGCTCTGTTAACCCACACAGTACCCAGCAGACCATGTCCTCTCAGTGTCTCTTCCTAATCTTGGCCAGACTTCTTTCCCTTTAGGTTTCAGCTGAAATGCCTCTCTTCTCCAAGAGGTTTCCTTGGCCATACTCAGTAACATCTTTCTTTATCAATCCCTTCTATTTCACTTTCAACAGAGCACCTATCACACCCTTATCATAATTACTGATCATTGCCTCCTACCCAACACACATCCTAAACCTGGGCTGTGCAGCATCACAGCCCACATACATTTGGCCACGGGATGCTTGAAATGGGACCAGTCCAAACTGACACCTGCTCTGAGTGTAAAACATACATACAGGATTCCAAATAGCACACACACAAAGATACACACATACAAAATACCTCATTAAACAATTGCCAGTGTATATTGAAATATTTTGGATATACTGAGTGAAATAAGAAATATTAAGCTTACAGTCACCTGTCTTTTTACTTTTAACGAACTGTAAAATGCAAAGTCACACATGGTTCACACAGCATCTTTATTGGGCAGTTGCCCTCTGATAACAAGCACAAGGCTCACTAGTCCATCCTCCACGTATAAACCCGAGACCTTGTGGCCAGAGAGAAGTCCCAGAAAGATTTATCGGTTAAATAAATAAATGAATTATGAAAAAGATAACCTGATGACCTTTCCCCAAATAAAGGCTAATTCATTTATGTTTTGCAAAAGAGTTCTCCAGAACAGAACAGAGACAGGCTCTTCCTTAGCCTCCCTCAGAAACCTGCTCTGGGGATTCCTAGGTTTAGTTGCAATGTTCAACCCCCAGGAAGCCAGAAAGCTGTTTCTCCTTTCACAGGAGGCAGGACTGAGGGTTACAAGCACCGCAGGCCCTGGGAGGAGTGACACCTTCTGCACGACTACAGTGAGCCAGAACTGGGAGCCCTCCGTCCAGAGTAGAAGCAGGGGGGCTTCCCGGAGCCGGACTCACGTATAGGCCAGGCGCGATGCGAGGACCTAAGGAGGGCTAGAAGCTGGGGGGGAGGGGGAGCGGGCGTGACTGGGGGAGGGCGGGGGCGTGGCTGAGAGGGACAAGGCCCGCACTCCGTGGAGGGGCGGGACTTAGATGGAGGAGAGACGCTGAGAGGGAGGGTGGAGCTTGGGGAAGAGAAAATGCGCCTGACCCGGGGAATACAGCCAGGAATGCGGTCAAAGGGGCAGGTCTCAGGATAGAGGGCTGGAACTGGCAAGGGGGAGCTAGGTTGGAGGAGTACAGGGAGCCGAGGCAGGACCCGGGAGCAGGCTCAGGACTTCCGCGGAGGAGGAGCCCGGGGCCCGGGGAGGGGGAGGTGACGGAGGAAAAGGCGGAGCCGCGGAGGGCGGGGAGGCCCGAGGGTGGGTCTGAGGGAATAAAAGGGCAGCGCCGGGGCTGAAGCTTCTGTTCCCTGGGTCGCTCCCGTCCGTGCTCTGTACCTTTTCCAGCACACCATGGCCGGGCCCCTGCGCACCCCGCTGCTCCTGCTAGCGGCTCTGACCCTGACTCTGGCCCTGGCCGTGAGCCCCGGAACCGGCAGGAGAAACAGCAAGTCTGCAATGGTGGGCGCCCCGTTGGACGCCGACGTCAACGAAGAGGGCGTGCAGCAGGCGCTGAACTTCGCCCTCAGCGAGTACAACAAGGCGAGCAACGACGCCTACCACAGCCGCGCGATGCGGGTGGTGCACGCCCGAAAGCAGGTGAGTACCGGCCGGGCCGTGGGGGCGGGGCGGCCCTGAGCAGAGGGCGCGGCTGCCTGACGTCACCCGCCCGGACCCCATCTGCCCGCCCAGCGTCTTGAGGGGTCCGTCTCGGAGCCCCTAGCTGTTGGGCGGGGACTACAGACCGCTCCCTGGCTTCTCAGAGGGCGGTGTCCCTCGTCTCTCGTGTCCGTCACAGCCAGCCCTTCGCATGCATATTACCGGGAGTGCCGGGGACCCCGGCAGCACACTGGGTCACCCCAATGGCCTTCATTTCAGGTTTCAAGCCCCAGCCTGGCCAGAAAGCTGCGGTGATGGGGTCAAGGCCCCTGTCCAGTCCCCCGACCTCCAATGCCCCAGCCTCACGCGATACGGGGGCTCAGTGTGAGCTGTCAACTAAATGACCATGAGCAAAGGAAAATCAGACCCCATACCCAGCTGCCCTCGTGGCTTTGTCACTGAAGAATTTTTTTAAGCACCTTTGTCCTTTTAACTTTTGACTTTAACTTTTCAGACTTACAGAGCAGTAGCAGAAATAGTGAATAAAATCCTTGTAGATTCTACAGCTAGATTCCTTGTATGTTAAAATTATGCCATTTTGCTTTCCATTAGGCACATACATGTGTGTACCTACATTTGTGGGTTTTTTTGAACCTTTTGACAGTTAACACTTCTGTGTGTATTTCCTAGAAAGAAGGGCATTTTCTGATGTAAGCACAATAACACTTTGGAAATCAGAATCAACACTGACAGTTATCCAAAACACAGATCTTACGTAGATGTCACTGGTTGTCTCACTGATGTCCTTTATAGCCCAGGACTGCCAGGTCACATGCTGCAGGCACTGTCTTGCAGCCTCCTTTACTCTGGCAGTCCCTCCATCTATGACCTTGGCATTTTTGAAGCGTCCAACCAGTTGTGGTACACGCTGGGGCTCGATCTGGTTTGGTCCCATGTTTCCTTGAGATGATTCAGGCCATGTGGAAGTGACCGGTTCTCCTCCCAGCCTCCTCTCAACAGGTGCCACTAAACCAGCCTGGCCTCCATGTCCTCGTCCTGCAGTTGAACTTGAGGCCCACACCAAACATCCTCCCTCAGCACCCAGAGGTGGTCAGTGAGCTGGCCTGTGGTACCCAGTGCAGCCCAGGGCAGAGGGTCTGACATATGAACTCAAATCTGTCCTGAGATCCTGGAGGAAAGGCTCCTCGAGGGTTGCTTCCTCTATAGGTCCCATCCATGGGAGCAGCCTCTTGTGTGTGCAGTCACACTCCCCACCCCGATATTGCCCCATCATCACCAACACCCAGGGGTAGTTGAGTGGATTGCTTCTGACCCCTGCGTCTGCCAGCCTGTCCGGGAGTTCTGGTCAGATAAAGAACATAGTCATGGGAGTCCAGAGAGGGGTGGGAGGGAGTGTGAGGAAGGGGCGCTGGTGGCTCTGCGGCTCTGCGTTCATCTTCTAAGGAGGGCGAGGATTTAGGCCAGCTGGCCCGGGGCCCAGTCCAGAGCAGAATGGAGCCTCACAGCAATGAAAGCCTGGTTGTGCATGCCAGCATTTAGGGCTCATGAGCCTTCTCTTGAAACTTAAGAAGTTGGGTCCAGAACAGACCATTTCTCCTCTTGCAGTGGTTGGCTGGCACTGCGTCCTTTGGATGGGACATGCACTCCCTGATCACTAGGTTCTCCCTGGCCGGCTTCTCTCCAGTGTGACACTGGCTTGGTGCCACAGCTCACTGGGGAAAGTGACAGCAGAGGGGTCATGGGACCTGCTTGTGGTTCTACGAGGTAGGATGTGGAGCTTGGTCTCAGTCTTCCATGTTCCTCCAAGTTCTAAGGAGGCTTGTCTGTGGGATTCCCTGTGTGAGGACAAGGTTTGCTTCTATCCTGTAATCTAGAGTGTAAAAGACGCAGGTGTGTGACACACTTCAGAAATATTCCCATCAAAAATTGCACTTAAAATGTAGATGTTCCAGGGTCAGTGTTTTATTGGCCTAAAACATGTATGTGTGTGTCTGCCTGTGATATACAGAGAGAGAGTGGGAGGCATGCCATTTCTTACTGTGAAATAAATAAATAAACCCTTGTTACACTGAGATAATGTGAATATCTGTGGGGTTGATCCTATTAATTGGAATTTAGCTTAATTGCACCCATCACATGACTGTCTTTTGGAACTGATCCACTCTGTTTGCTCCAGCACAGAGCCCTCACTGTGGGCTTAGTTCCTGCCCTGGCTCCTGGCGCTGGAGTTTATTAGCTGACACTGTGCTGGGCCCCCAGACTGCGCCTTACCCTCCTGAACCCAGTTAACAGAATTTTGATCCCTGGCCTCCACCTTCCATCTTCCTACTTCTCCTCCTGCCAGGCTGCCTGAGGCCTTCTGGATCCCCTCTGTGAACTAGTTACAAGCAGGGTCTGAGCACAGCAGCTGAGCCAGCCCTCAGCAGGTGGCTGTGGTTTTCCAGGGTACCTGCTTTGGCAGCAGTGAATGCTGGTGTGAGGGCCCAATAGCAGGAAGGTAATTGTGTGTGAAACTGGCAGGGAGGCTGTAAACAAATCCTGCTCTCCCGGTATACAGGTCGTGGCTGGGATGAATTACTTCTTGGACGTGGAGATTGGACGAACCAGATGTACCAAGTCGCAGCCCAACTTGGACACTTGTCCCTTTCATGACCAGCCACACCTGATGAGGGTATGTGTCCGGAGGACGCAGCCAAGCACAGCAGAGGGGTGGGGTGAGCCTGTGCCTGTGGGAAGCATCATGTGTGAGTGCTGGGGGTGGGGGTGTGCCGCTGCTGGGTGCATGGAGTACGTGTGTGTGCATGTGACTATTTGAGTTTGTAAGCGGGTTTTAGCTGGTGAATAGGGGGTACCATGTGCAGTGTGGGTTGTTGCCTGTGAGATAAGGGGCAGCTGCGGGGTGTTTGCTGGAGAAAGAGAAAGAGGGAGAGAGGTGACCCCTTAATCTTAGCCTCAGCCATCTGAACGGATTAGAGGGAATCAGAGGCCTGTAAGTAGCCAGAACTCTTTGGTGCTGCCCTGCTCACCAGATACTAGTCTCCCTCCTGGGTCTTGGCCTCTGGGGAGGGCTGCACATCCCCCTACCTCCCCCATTCCCTGGGGCTTTTTTGTGTTTCCTGAACTCTAATCCAAGGCCCTGGGTCCCTCCCTCTCCACCTCTCCTAGTGCTGGCCCACTGAAGGTCAAGGAACTTGGGGGCAGTCCCCTGTCCCTTGGGGGCTCTGGAACCTTCCATATGCTGCTCCTCCTTAAAGGGATATGCAGGGGGAATGAGTTTGTGGAATCCTGCTGGTTGGAGATAAGGGACAAGATCCCATCTCTTGGACTTAAGGGATGGGCATGGTGACCGAGAGGTCACTGCAAAGCCCTGGTTAGTGTTCTGGGGCTCTGCAAGGTGGGGGTTGAGAATCACACCACCATTCCTTACCTGCTCTTCTGACATCTTGAGGCTGGACTTGTTCCTTTTGCACTGTAACCCTAACTATTCCTCTCTTTTCCCTTTTGCAGAAAATGCTCTGCTCTTTCCAGATATACACTGTCCCCTGGTTGGGCAAGACATCCCTGGTGAAGTCCAACTGCCAGGATGCATAGAAGACCCTGTGACAGGCTGGGTTGCTCTGGCCCCCTTCTCTCGCCCCGCTCCCCCTTGTAGAACTCCTAAGCCTTGGAAGGGTGGCCCTGTCCAGGTGATGTCCCCTCTGTGTGCTGGTTCCAGGAGACAAATAGAAAAGGGTTCTGGGGCAGGTTTTGAACAGCTAAGTGACTGTAACTCCTTTCTTTTAATTGCTTTTCAAATGCACTAGTATGTAGTGTACTTGTTCTGCTCTGTCTTCATCAATAAAAAGTAGTATCAGCTATCTCTTGAGTTTATTTCATGTCTCGGGAGTATATGTTAAAAAAGGTTTTGGGCAGTGTCTTTGTGAAGAGTCCCTAGTCCCACTGACTTTAGAGGACAGACAAGGAGTAGAGAGCTGACAGGTTCCCCAGGGGAGGGGAACCTGTGGCATGCGGCCACTTTGGGGATGATTAAATCAGGGGCAGGCTGGGAACCCAGCCCTTTATCTATAGTGACTCCTAGTAATCACAGAGAAAAGGAGAGAAACTAGGCTGCTGATCCTGGAGACTTGGTTGCTATGTTTGAAAGGAATTCAGATGGTGAACAGGAATGGACAGGAGAGATTGGTCAAATTAAGCCCACTGCCCAGGGCCACCCTGAGCAGGTATCTGCCAGGTAATAGATTTCAACCACATGTACTGAGCACCTCACACTCCTGGGGCTGATTTTCACTGGTCAAATTCTCTACAGACTAGATAAATAATGATTTCTGTCTCCTTCTTTCCACAAAAGACTACAAGGCACCTTTAGGAGACAAAGTATTATGTGTGTTTATGTAACTATTGGGGAACTACCAATCAGAGTCAAGGTCAGAATCCAGAGTGAAATGAGACTGAAAGCAACACCTTCTTCAGATACATTGCAGGAAGTAGTTTGTAAATGGTTTTACACCCTGCCTGTATCCTGGAGTCCCATTTAAAATAAGTCCTTGTGTAGTAGAGTTTCATATAAGGAATGTAGAATTGAAACCGTAAATGGAATTGAAATAAAGTGGGCTTCCTTCTTATTCTAAGGACATTGTAATTAATAGTTCACCATCATTCTGTAGACTAATGGGTACCTTAGGACTTCAAAATAGAAATGAATTAGTCCTAAACAAAAGAGAACTAAAAGCATACCCCACTCCCTGCATTGTCCTTATATTGACTGTTTCCTGCAAAGGGGTGAAGCCCTCCCAAGGGGCTAGTAGTGCTGGGTCCATGCTTCACAAATCTCCCACTGACAGAGCAGCGTGAATGATCTGGTTGGCTCATTGCCATGAACACAGAGGGTGAAATGACAAAGGGGACCCACCCAGCTGGCCCTGAGTCCTGGCACCCCAGGGGCGGCTGCTGCACCCAGCAAAGGTAGAACTCAGCACAATGCTGGAAGGGGTAGGGATTGTCCCCATCCTATGTGCCTCCTCCAGGTGACTATGTGGGCCCCAACAAGATTGTGTGCCTTGTCTCTTGTTCACCATTGTGGAAGAAGATGCATAATTGCTAAGAGAATCATTCAAAACAGTTCACAGTGCACATTGCCTGTACACCACTGTCTTCTATTAAAATTTTCTGAACACTTATCAATTACAGCTGGACAACCTGGAACATATCCTTCCACTCTGGACTGAAATAGAGATATACTGACACCTATTTGCCAAATGGCCAGTCATGTATGAGACAGTAAATGTGAACTCTGCTAGCACTAATCATAATTCTTTCAAAACAAGTTATGAAACCATGGATTTTTGCTTCCATAATCCTGCACTCTCAGTTCCAAGTTTGGAGCACACTTTGGATTTCAGTGGCTCTGTGTCTCCTTGATTATAATCTTTCAGACCTCAAATAAATGCTTTGGTTGCTTTACAGTCTCTTCTTAATGGACACCACACCTAAGGAAAGGGGCTGGGATCAGAGATGCAAAGCACTGTGCACAGCCCTCAAGAGGTGGAGTGTGAGCCTGGGCATGGTCCCTGCAGGGGTGCATGGGCTTGGGAATGTGTTGAGAAGGAGGGGTCCTGACAGAGCAGTTGGTACACAGAAGTGGTACCCTGGGGATGAGGCCTTCGTGCAGGTCTTCCCTAACTTGGTGATGAACCTTGGGTTTACATGGTGACACCACGATGAGTTGCTGATTTCCTGTAAAGCCATCCCTTTGTGGGCACACTTCCAATTCTCTTTTCCTTGTGGAAGTTGGGGGTAGCGGATGGAGAGCTGTACACACAGCTTGGCTCATCTCAAGCTCTCCACACATTCTCTCACCATCCCGGCCTTGTGTTCCACAGCCCACACCACATGAGTTCAGGTTGGTGGCACCCTAGGTGACCCAAGGGGATGGGCAGGCACATAGATGCCACAACCCTGAGGCTCTGGGTGAAGTGGTGTGATCAAGAAGGCCCTGAGACCTGACATCACATAAACCAGTGTGTCTAGAGGTGAAAATACAGCCCCTGCAACTTTAATCTTCATGATTTTTTATATTTATTTACTTTAAATATAACTGTAAGTATAATTGATGTAAAATTACTTACATAAATAGCTTTAGCATAGTGCCTGGCTATGAGTAAATAGTAGGTTTTTTATCTTTTTTCACTGATCTAATTACATATTGTGGTTTAAAGCATGGCATCCATAATCCCTGACACTCCTTGCACTCAGAGGTAGGATCTGTGATCTATGTCATGACTTGGGAACATCACCAAAAAGATGACTGAAGATTAACCTGTGAAGTGGACCTGGGTACTTGGAGGCTCCTCACCCTATCCCCTGTCCTTGGAATGTGAGTTCCACTGGTCTTTTCTGCTCCCAGGGACCACTCTCAGGACACAGCCTGGAGATGGTGATGTGGTGCTGAGACCATCTGGATGGTGTATGTAACTGACACCAGTTAGGGCCTCTTTTGTAAACTTTTAAGATTTGCCAGGTGGGTGTGGGGTCCATTAATCTCAGTGCTACCTAAGAGAAGCCTCATAGGTGAGTTCCCTTTTCATATTAAAACTGCCATCTATTAACCTGGAGAGACCTGCTTCTTTCTCAGCCTCTCCCTGCCCTCTGAGTACAAGGGCAGTTTCAGATTACACCAGGAAAGCTTCTGAGAGGGTTGTGAACCACCACTCTAGCTGAGTTTGTACAGACTTGAAGTGGAAACTGCAGAGGAAGTGACCCTGTGACCTCCAAGTCAGGATCAGAGAAGGTCCCGTGGCTTCTGCCAATGTTCCTGGACACCTGCCCTGTGGGAAGCCAGCATCACTGCAAAGAGCCTGACTCCCCAATTCCTTCATGTTTGAAATGCCCCCTGCGGGTGCCCACTTGGCATGCTCCAGCTGGGATCCCAGCCAAAGTCAGTATCACCTGCCAGTTAAGTGAATGGGTCACCATGGACGTCCAGCCCAACTGAGCTCTTGGATGACTGCAACCCTGGCTGTCACCTGACTGCAATCACATGACAGCCCCCAAGCAAGAATTACCCACCTGTTTCCTTCCCAAATCCCTGGTCCACAAAACAAAACCCTGAGCAAGAGAAAATGGTTGTACCATACCTCCATGTGTTAGGGTGATTTGTCACACAGCAGTAGTGTCTGAGACACACCCGTGTGTGTGTGTGTGTGTGTGTGTGTGTGTGTATGTGTGTGTACCCATATACACCCGTATGTTGAATGGGGGGAAGCCCAGGGACCGTAGAACCAGATGCCGGGGTGAAAATGTCATTGGCTGTGTGACCTATATAAGCTCCTTACTCTCTCTGAGGCTCACTTGTTATCAGCAAAGGGACTGACTCCTACTGTCCCTAATGGGATTATGGGAATTAATGTGTTTATGTCTATAAAGCACTTTGAATAGCTCAGTTTGCTATATAAATGCATATTTTTATTCCAGTTAGAATGTTAATAGCTTTTACTTATGTGGTAGTTTAACTTCATTTGTTAAATGACATTATTAGCTGTATGTGTGTGTGTGTGTGTGTGTGTGTGGTTTCCAAAAACCTTTTTTATTCAAAAAGCCATCATTATATAGCAAATTCCCATAGCATCCTGTCAGTTTCTATGTCTCTGTCTTTTTTTTTTCCATGTTAATTTTATTTTATTTTATTTTTTTTAACAAATAGTTTATTGTCAAATTAGTTTCCACATAACACTCAGTGCTCATCCCCAAAGTGCCCTCCTCCATGCCCATCCCCCCCTCCCCCCCACATCCATCAGTCCTCAGTTTTTGTCATCATTCAAGAGTCTCTCATGGTTTGCCTCTCTCCCTTTCCCCCACCATTTCCGCCCTTCTTCTCCCCCTTGTTCCTCCGTCAAGTTCCTCCTAATCCTCCTATACGTGCAAACATAAATTCAATGTAGTCCTAGTTCAAAACACAGTAATTCTACTTTCTGAGCTTGAAAAAAAATTTCATCAAGAAAAATAAATAAACATATTCAGAAATAAGATTTAGAAAAGAATTTAAAAAATGGTCTTTATGTAAAATATTCCATTTAAAACAGAAGGAAAAATAAACCCTGCTATATTTAAGACAGAGACATAGAAGATGTGGTTTATAGGGTTTATTTTTCCTTCTGTTTTAAATGGAATATTTTACATAAAGACCATTTTTTAAATTCTTTTCTAAATCTTATTTCTGAATATGTTTATTTATTTTTCTTGATGAAATTTTTTTTCAAGCTCAGAAAGTAGAATTACTGTGTTTTGAACTAGGACTACATTGAATTTATATTTTTATTTGAGGGGAAAAAAGACAAAATTTAATATTTGAGCTTTTCATTTTAGAATGTCGCATAGTCGGGGCGCCTGGGTGGCTTAGTCAGTTAAGAGTCCGACTTTCGCTTAGGTCATGATCTCGCGGTTCGTGGGTTCGGGCCCCGCGTCGGGCTCTGTGCTGACTGCCAGCTCAGAGCCTGGAGCCTGTTTCAGTCTGTGACTCCCTCTCCTTCTGACCCTCCCCTGCTCACTCTGTCTCTCTCTTTCTCCTAAAATAAATAAAACATTTAAAAAATTTTAAAAAAAGAATGTCGCATAGTCTGCAATATATTTATGCTTTTATTATGTTCTCTGGTACTATGAAGTAAGTTTTTATGCATCTTTCATATTTCCTTTGAAATCTATGCCTGGGTATTTTATATTTTGCCAGGAATATATACCTATCTTATTTCTCACCAGTCACTACTAAAATAGATGAAAATGATTAATCTTACCTGCTTTTCTTGTATCTTGGTGGCTCACAATTTATAGACCCTTAGAGATCTGAGGTTTTATGGTCTATCAC